AGCCCATATCTAGCCCAGGAACTGGCTTGTAGCAGACATTTAATCAATTTTATACAATGAATGAATGAATCAATGGTAAGCAGCATCAGCTAACTAGTTAATTTAACCAAAGAGTTCAATAAATTAACACACTTATTCACTTTTGTGATTCAAGGAAATATGCAAAGCTTCTAGAAGGAAGTTTGGATGTTTTTGAGAGAAACCTTTGAAGGTAGTCCAATATATTCTGTTAACAATAGGATCAACTGTAACTCAACCAGTGTTTCAGTCACCTTGCTTGTTCCCAGTCTGGAAAATAGACTTTTCATGGTAGACGTGGGTCCATGATTGAAGTCTTTGTTTATAAAGTTGCTTCAGCCATACAGAGCTGGAAGTGCTTTGTTCTTCATGAAAACCTAACAAGAAAGGACTTGTACAGAGTGTGGCCAAGGCCATGACTCCTGAAGGTGGTAGAATCTTGGTGACTCACTCAAAGGTCCCTGTAGCCCCTGCCTTACTGATCTATCTAGTCAAACCCAGGAAGGACCAGAATAAAAAGTTAATTCTACTTCTGATTCTTCACCATTGCTTGACTTTGAGAAATGACCATTTGAACGCTTGTTTTATAAAATCGGAATATCAGTGCTAACCTACTTGGCCAAGATATTATGAAAAGTAATTTAAGGCTTTAAAAGAATCCATGATTGAAGCCACAGTTTTTATACTGAGTTGCCATAACAATATTTGTTTCCTGCCTTAGTGGTTATTCCAAGGCCAGAAATGCAGTAATATATATGGTTAGTACACAGAGTTTGCTTTCATATTTTGAAAGAATGCATAGTTTAAAAAAAAATCTTTGTTTTATTTTGTAGCCTTTTTCCCTACATTGAGACTGAAACAGAAAAAAATTTATGCAAGTTATTTTGGAAGACAAAATTGAAATTTCATTTATGGGAAAATTTTGCAAAATTACACTGAAAGTGATTTTTTGTTTTGGCTTTCCTATGAAGCCATCCAGAAAGGCAAAAAATCACTGGCATTGCCTTTGTGTAAAACCTTTCACATAGACTTCTCTTGTAATTCAGCCAAATACATAATTCAGGTCATTGGTGACACATATATCCACACATTGGAGCTGTTAGGAAAGCAGAAAGTTGTCATGAAATGTGGATATAATATTTTCATGTATACAGACCAAACCGCACAGATTACAACTAAGGAAACTTTACATTAACATGCTTGGGAACAGACTTTCCTGAGCTGATCCCTGCCCCCACCAGCGCTTGGTGGGAAAGCCAACTGGTGACTGATTACGACAGCGACATCACTTGGCAAACATTTTGGCCTGAACTCAATGTGTGACATCAGGCTCCTTTAGGGTTTTCCACATAAACTGAATTCTCCAAAGTAAATACAGAAATTGAGCCTTAATTTGAAATTCATCATTACATCCTCCAAGGTCTCATTAACAACCTCAATCATGTATTTCTTAATTTTCATTTTATTTCCAAGGAGATATTAACCAATGCTTAAAGAATGAGTGTGAAACCTTCAGTTTCAATCAGATAGACCTTTGTAGCTTTCCTCCACCAACCCCCACTTTATGAGAGTTAAGGTACCTTTGTTTCACTGTGCCAAGGGTCACTAATTTGGGAGTGGCTTACATCACTTTGTTTGAGGAAGGAAGTAAACATTATTCTTTGCCCCCTTAGGGTAAGTTAGTCTTGCTTTTTTGAGGGTGGCTGTGTGATAAAGAGGAAGTACTCCTGCATATGTTTGAGTGCTCAGTGATGGTGTGTGTTTTGCCTTGCCACCTGAAAATGAGACATATTACTGATATTTCACCTTCTTGTATGTCAGCACCTCCTTCGGCTGTGTACCTGAAATCATTAGAGTTTCCTCCATTTTGTCAGGTGGTGTTCATCTAATACTTTGATGTACATGGCTTTACAGCAGGTGAAAGTCAGTTATGCCTCATGAGACCTGCAGTCTACTGGGAAGGCAGAGGAGAAAAAAGGGAGGGCGAATACAAATGTACCATACAGGCAAAGCAGGGGATGAGTCACCTGTGCATCAGATGCACTGAGGGTAGGTTTAACGTTCTCTCACCCAGAGAGTTCATCTGGAAGCTACTCCCTGGCAAATGGAAATGGTACATGTTCTCATATCTTTTGGAGTGACTGATCAGGGAGTGAGAGACCCTGTTTAGCCTGCTTCTTGGTGGTGGTATGTTTAATGAAATTTTTCAAGGCAACTTTATGTACTATATAGGTTTAAAAAATACATAATCTCTGAAATTCTTCCTTTTAAACTCATTTGACACCTGTAGAAATACAATTTTTAGTATTCTGATTCCATTGTATACACTTTACATTTATCCTACTATTTTTCTTTCCCTACAGCCCATGACCTTTATTCCCTCTGATCTTTGTTCCCATTCTCAGTGTTGTTCCTCTTTGCTCTTTTATTTTTTTTTTTTATTTTTATTTTTTTTTTTGACAGGCAGAGTGGACAGTGAGAGAGAGAGAGACAGAGAGAAAGGTCTTCCTTTGCCGTTGGTTCACCCTCTAATGGCCGCCGCGGCTGGCGCGCTGCGGCCGGCGCACCGCGCTGATCCGATGGCAGGAGCCAGGAGCCAGGTGCTTTTCCTGGTCTCCCATGGGGTGCAGGGCCCAAGCACCTGGGCCATCCTCCACTGCACTCCCTGGCCACAGCAGAGGGCTGGCCTGGAAGAGGGGCAACCGGGATAGAATCCGGCGCCCCGACCGGGACTAGAACCCGGTGTGCCGGCGCCGCTAGGCGGAGGATTAGCCTAGTGAGCCGCGGCGCCGGCCTCCTCTTTGCTCTTTTAGTTTAAATCATTTTCACCATCTGCCTCCCAATGTTATATAGTGTCGCTTCTGGATCGTCTTCCTGAAGATAATAAGAGCTACAGCAATGAGTGCTATCACTGTAGCCCAGCAGCCCATCCATCACCTTCCCCCTCTGAAATCTCTACCATTTTGCCTTCTCTATTGATGTTCTCAGCCCTTTGGGCAGGCATATCTCAGACAGAAAGTGTTCAGCAAGTTAGTGCCAAGTAATTATGTAGGCTAAATGAGGCCACTGGTGCCAAACCCCTGGAGTTTGAAATAATATTTAATATTACATTGTCTCATTGAATAACAGATCTTAAATTGTCATGTCTGCATCTAATCTTCTCTTGGTGCCAGATTTCTTGTGCTCCTTTAATCTGCCCCTGTAGGTATTTGAGTTCATGATGCAGTAAGTTAACAAGGACCCCTTGTAGTGAGTGAAAAATCTAGAAAGATTAGGCTGGGTCTGAAGGCTATGGAATATCTACCATGAAATTAACTGAAAAGTAAAAGTTTGCTATTAGCCTTGATATTGGTGTAATGTCAGTTACCTAGCTCAATATGATAAAGCAGTTGAGATTACCAGTGTTTTGAAAAAGGAAATCATAGCTTATTTTTTCTGTGTTAGAACACAGCATCATTAATTACCTAACTCATAAAAGTACCCATAGAAATATCAAAAGTGAAGTAAGTCTCCAGTAAAAATTTGGCATTGCAAGTGATCATTATTTCCTATTTTATAGTATCGATAGAGAGGGTTAATTGTTGTATTCAGTTTAATATGGGTACTTGCACATTTTAAGATGGTTGAGCATAGGAGGCCAAAGTGGAACAAAATAATCTACCCCAAATATGGTTTGCCTACCAAACTTTCCTTATTTGCAGCCAAATGTCTCAAAATACTAGTTTAAATGTTAAACTTCTATAATCTCATTTATTCTTTACAGCATTGCCATTTGGCTTCTGCCCTTGTTGCTTTATTGAAATGGTTCATTAATTTCCCCAATGTATTCTTTGTCATCAAATCCTAGGACATTTCTCATCTTTTCTGTGTTCATTGGTGCTGTTTGTCTTTTCATGCTTCATTTCATTGCTTCTTTTCTGGTCCTTCTGCCATTATTTCTTAGGTTCCTTGACCTCTTTTCCTCAGGAAAACCACTGACCATTTTGATATATTGTAGGGTTCCTCTTTCAGCATTCTCTACCCTCACTGCACCAACAGTCAGAGAGCTTTTATTGTATCTAACTTCCTTCCCACCGAACATTGGAGTATACCAAGGTACCTGGTACTCAACATGTCTAAAACAAGATTTGTGTTGTACTCACCCCTTCTCCTAACACAATTCATCCTGCTCAATGAAAATCCTGCAACAACAAAAATCTATGCCATATTCATATTCCATATCTTGGTGAATAACCTGAGTGCTTTTCAGTAGCTCCCTTTCATTGCTCTGCTCTCCAATCTCTTAAGTGACTAACTCATAGGGACTATACATTATGAATATTTCTTGTTCACACCCCTCCCTCCAATTCCATGTCCATTGGGACACATCCCGTTATCTTCTTCATCGGAATGTTTGCCTCCTATGCAGGCTTCCTGTTCCAGTCTAAACTTCCTCCAGTCTTTCCTCTATGTTATCTTAGTGATTTTTTAAAGAAGCCTATTTGTTCATTTCATTCCTCATCTTGTGATTTTTCATTTGCTGCTTTTTGCCTGCAGTATAAAGTCCAAGTGCTGATGGAGCTAGCCTTTCCCTTTCTCATCCTGCACTCAAACCTGTGCTATAGCCGTGTGAAAGCTTGAGTTCCCTTTGCAGTGATGTTGTTTTCCCATCTCCATGCTATAACACTTACTTCTCCCTTTACTATCAATATGGTTTCCATTCTTGTTTGCCTGGAGACTAGACTCCTGTGGCTTGCATTTAACATGACATTCGTTGCAGTTAGGTGCCCAGCACTTACCCTCTCATAGTCCTTGTCACATCCTGCTATTTTGGCATTGTTTTAGTAATGTTTTTTCTTCACCATAGACAATGACATCTTAAGAGCAGAAGTTGTACTATAATCATCCATAGATCCCTAATATGTGGTACACTGTGCAGCCTATAGTGAGAGGTTAGTAATAGTTGGCAGAATGGCTCATTGTTTGATTCAAAGCAGGCTTACCTTTCACATTCCTGTTCTAGTAAGCTTATAAATTCATCACTCTTCTCCATGTATTCTTTGTGTTTTCTCTTTTCTTCCTCCAACTCCAGGATAGTTTGCCTATGGGATTTTTCTGCCATTAAAAGCTGTCCCAAGATTCTTTTGTGAGATTCTTTATGTTTTTCCACAACTTTGTCCAACTATAAAAGAAAACATTTATTATCTGTTAATTGTAAATTGTTCATAATACTGTCTTCTCTCAATGTTTTAGAGTTGTTCTTGTTTTACTAATTAATTCAGCAATAAGATTTTTAACTCCTTGTTTCAGTTTATCATTATTCTTGTTAACTGATATTTCTTGGTGCATTTCAACACAAATGTAGACTTTACATTGCCATCAAAATTTCCCAGAGAGAATAATTTGTGCTTCCATACATATCAGAATAATTTCCTCATATTTCATTCCCAACACTCTCTTTTCTTTCCAGAATTCTATACTAAAGGAATATTGAGGGTGAGAATCCTTGCACAGTGTTTGATTTTGTAGCTACATTAGCTGATTTCTTATACCCCAGACCACCTTAAAGTACTCTCTATCTGTAAAACCCTCTTAGATCCCTTGATCTGTTTTTCTTTTTTAAGCATCAAGAAGATATTTCCAATACACAGGTCATTAATTCTATATTGATGAGTAGTATGAATGTGATCAAATGTAAGCACTATGTCCTTTCTGGATTTCACAGCACTGTACTTACATCTTTGTTTTAAAATAATTGCTCTATGCCTTATTTATATGTTTCTGTCCCCCTCTACACTATAAATGCCTTGAGGACAGGGCTTATCTACATCCTAAATTCTTAGCATCTAACAAGCTACTTTACATATCATAGGTACACAGTAAATTTTTACAGATTGAAGACAGGTAAGCTAGGAATCAAGAAAGAAAAGAGGGAGATGAGGAGCTCTATAAAAGTATAAATGGCTTAGGATCTTTTTCCAGTGATAAATTAAGATGGATTAAGAACATGGCTTTGAAACATGTGAGTTTTCAGATTAAATACTAAATGCTGTTGTTAGAACATCATGATAGTTGGTTTTTGCCTTTTCCCTTTATTGTAAAAGATTAAAATTTTATGACACTGTGTGAATATGAAGCCAATTTATACTAAAAAGCATATACTTGAGTAGGAATCCAAGGCACAAAATGGCCAGCTCATTTTAGAAAAACAGAACTAAGGTGTGTGTCCCAGCATATGGAACCCAACAAATTCTCTCTGACCTCTGAATGCTAGGCTGGATTTGATAATTTCTAAGATCAATTCTAGTGCCACAGTTTTCTCAAGGCAACAAGTATTTATTAATTGCCTATTCTACCATATGTACCTAATACTGTGATAGTTGCCATGGAGAATACAAGAGATGTTTGAAGTTGAAGTGCTTATACTCTCACTAGAAAGAAAAGAAAAATACACGTAAAACAGTTCAGAGCAATGTAAGTTAATGCATCCTCAAGTACTAAGGGATTATCAAAGAATGACTCCGTTTTTTAATCTGTCCCCACTTGCAGTTTAATTGAAACCTAGGATAGAAAACCGGAAGCCTCCTTAGTCATTTCAGGGGCCTCTAGGGGCAGAAAGATTGAAAAGATGGCTTCCTGGTGTTTCTTGTGTGGTGACAAGCTTTCAGCTTATCAATTTAGCTTCCCCAATAGCATGTCCTATTCTCTGCCCTTAGTAAAATCCAACTTTTTGCCTAGAGTGAAAGAAATATACTAAGTCCCAGTATGTGGATTTTTGCTTTCATCCTTTCATTGTTAGAAGGAATGAAGAATGAGAGGTTTTGTGTATATTCTTTTGGTTGCTGAATATTTGTTTAGAAAGAAACAATAATTTTTTTAAAGATTTATTTATCTGAAAGTCAGTTACACAGAGAGATAAGGAGAGGCAGAGAGAGAGAGAGAGAGAGAGAGAGAGGTAGGTCTTCCATTCGCTGGTTCACTCCCCAGTTGACCGCAATGGCCAGAGCTGTGCCGATCCAAAGCTAGGAACCAGGAGCTTCTTCTGGGTCTCGCATATGGGCGCAGGAGCCAAGGACTTGGGCCATCTTCTACTGCTTTCCTAGGCCATAGAAAAGAGCTGGATGGGAAGTGGAGCAGCCAGAACTCGAACCAGCGACCACATGGGATGCCGACACTACTGGCTTCACCTGCTACCCCACAGCACCAGCCCTCCCCGCCCCCCATTTGATTTTCTTTGTATGCTCTAACTTTGTTTTTTCTCATTCTTTCCTACTGGTTTTTGTAAATTGTCCTTCTCTTAATATACTTTCTTTTGATTACTCTAAATAAACAGATAGGGCTAAAACTAATCCAGAAAGTGGCCAAAGTGACCTATTCGGTAGATCAATAGTGAACAAATATGCATACATGAATTACATCTTCTTCCTATCTGTACTGAAAACCTGATTTTCTTTGATGACACTGAAATCTTGAAAGAGTGACTTTTCTTATTGCCTTCATGTCTCACGCTCTAGAAATGGAACATGGCTCCACACTGCCACTGCCAGAGCCTTCCGAAATCTCTTTCATATCTCATTCTCACTATGAGTGATGATAGTCTTCTCTCATTCTCATTTTGGTCTGGGTAACTTCAGGTCAATTCCTCAAAAATCTTTCTTTCCATTCTTGATAGCATTGTGAGTGATTTTTCAATTTAGCTGGACCTGTGTGTGTGTGATTCTTGTCTTTATACTTGGTCAGCATCCAGTCTGTTTCCTCAAAACATCTGTTTGAATGAAGTCCATGTTACCCCTAGTACTAGACCTGAACACATCCGTACCTGCTTATTATTGTGTCTTATCTTACTTGATTGAGAAGGCTCAATCAAGTATAAATACTCAGTGTTTTCTTCCACTTCTGCTATTCATATAACTTTCCTGTATCCTTTTACATTCTGAACTTCTTCAACTAGTCACATGTTATTGTTCATATATTCATATATAATATTCATACATTGTTCTATATTTTATAAAATTTTCAAAAGTAAGTTAATTATAATCAATTCAAACCTTTGTGTCTTTTCCATTCCATTGTTGATTAGAAAGAAGAAAGGTTCAAAGTGTATAAAGCCAGAAGCCAGTATACAGAACTTGCTCTTTTTGTTTCTGGCTCAGGATATCTCTTCTATGTAGGTCATCTATGCAGTTAATAGTGTTTTTTATATGTTACCTAACATTTTGATACTTTTTAAATTATGTGACTTTATGATATTCTGACATATTGCCAGAATGGGATTCTTTCATGTTCTACCTAAGCCCTACCCGTCATGAGGATTTCCTTTTTTGTTTTTACGCTTTTATTTGTTTATGTATGTATTTGAAGGGCAGAGTGAAAGAGAAAGGGGGCGAGACAGAGAAAGATCTTCCATCTGCTGGTTCACTCCCCAAATGCCTTTAAAGCCAGGGCTAGATCAGAAGTGGAGACAGTACTCGATCCCAGCACGTCATTATAGGATGGGGCATCCCAAGTAGTGTCTTAACCTGCTATGCCTCAATGCCTGCCCCACAGGTTCTGAACCTTGGCTTTCCTAATTGCAACATCTAAATTTTATTCCTTGATTATCCTTTTATAGCAGTCTGTGGTTGTTGATCATTTGTTTTTGGTCAATCCGTCAGAGATATTAAACAATCTGAAGGTGGAGCCAGCATTGTAGCATAGTAGGTAAAGCCACCTCTTGAGATACCAGCATCCTGTTTGGGTGCCAGTTCATGTCCCAGCTGCCCCACTTCTGATCCAGCTCCCTGATAATGGCCTGGGAAGACAGCAGAAGATGGCCCAAATGCTTGGGCCCCTGGTACCCCTATGGATGACCTGGAGGAAGCTCCTGGCTTCTGGCTTTGGCCTGTCCCTTGCCCAGCCCCAGCCATTGCGGCCATCTGGGGAGTGAACCAGCAAATGGAAGATCTTTCTTTCTCTGTCTCTTTCTCTCTCTGTAATTCTGACTTTCAAACAAATAAATCTTTTTATTTTTGTTTTTGTTTTTTTTTTTGACAGGCAGAGTGGACAGTGAGAGAGAGAGACAGAGAGAAAGGTATTCCTTTTTCCATTGGTTCACCCCCCAATGGCTTCTGTGGCCAGCGTGCTGTGGCTGGTGCACCACACTGATCCGAAGCCAGGAGCCAGGTGTTTCTCCTGGTCTCCGTTGCAGGTGCAGGGCCCAAGCACTTGGGCCATCCTCCACTGCACTCCCGGGCCATAGCAGAGAGCTGGACTGGAAGAAGAGCAACCAGGACAGAATCTGGCGCCCCAACCGGGACTAGAACCCGGTGTGCTGGCGCCTCAAGGTGGAGGATTAGCCTATTGAGCCACGGCGCGGGCCACAAATAAATCTTTAAAAAGTAAACACCCTGAGGCATGAAGTACAACTATTTTTTTTATATCAGTTCCTCAAATATAATTAAGTAAAGGAATAAAAAGAAAATTTAAAGGCAGTTATATATTTGCTTAAAATAAGTACTATAAGTATTGCCCTAAATGTATGCTTATAAGACACTCAGATTCTTTTGTTATACTACGTTGATAAATCCCAAATGTTATATTTACTATGATCTATCTTTGAAAGCACTAAGAATGTGTTAAGCCATTAGCTCAAGTTTCTCTCTCTCTCTCTCTCTCTCTCTCTCTCTCTCTCTCTCTTTTAATGGTAACTTCCAATGTGAAATCCTAGATTAGAAAGGAATAGAAAGTTAAACTACTGGGGACTGAGTTCTTCCCTCTTCTCCATCTCCATCTTGATTACAGCTCTACATTCTATTCCTATTCCCACCCAGATCTTTTGTTCCACTTCATAGGCCTTAACTAGTTTTGCACCTTACTGTCAGTATTCCTGCCATACCAAGTAACCAAGAGCAATTTGTTCTTCTGTTTTGCCTTAAGAACTACATAAATTCCCTCTAGTTTACCCTAGACATGAATAAGATTTTTTTTAAGTTTTTCAAAAAGAACAGTATCAGGAAAATAAAAACATGTGTGTTGGGGATGGGAGGAGGTATGTTATCACTCCGAGATGGGGGGAGGTGAAAGAATAACCTTTCAGCACTCAAATGAGTTTTCTCCTGTGATACCCAGGTTTAATGGACACACTGCCCCCTTAACCTTTCTTTTCTTCAACTCCATCTAGAGAATTCTAGTTAGAACTCTCCTTTACTATTCATTCTCTGGTTGTCCACTTCTCACCCATTGCTCCTTCAGTAGAGGGCTAGGGTACTGAGTTGTGTCAATACATTTTGTGACCTCCAAGGAACTGGATATACTGGTAGCTGAAGAAAGAAGGGCAAGTGGGGCAAGTAGAAGCAAAGAAGAAAACTGGCATATTATGGTTTTGGAAGTATGAGAGGTGTGGTGGTGTGGTGAGAGTGTAGAGGTATCTGAGGGAGTGGTAATCAAAGGAGATTGGATTTGTAAAGCAGCATGGATGATAATTTCCAGGGGCACTTTGCAGAGTGAGGATTGCAAACATTTGCAGAAAGGGTATTTCCAGTTTTGCCTATGTATAGAATTATTTTATAACTCAGACTTGTCCTACTCATTTCAACATGAGTTTGGAATCATTCTGTTTCATTTCACACTGAAGTGTTGAGGGGTTATGCCTTTTGTGGAGTTTTGTTAGGGGCATATTCAGTGACCATTATTTTGCATTTGAGCCCAGAGAGGTGGGGGAATTTGTGCCTGATGCCCTTTCACAGGCAGTGCTTTGGGAACCAGGATAGGGTTTAAACACTGTTGACTTGTATGCAACTCCAACTCCTTTTGTTTAAAATTTGGATTAAAGCACAAGTCAACAGACCTTGGGTGGTCTCATCCTCACCCCTCAGAGAAGCAGAGCCACATGACCAGACTCCTTCACAATTTGGCAAGCTGGTAGTCTTTTCTCATGAGACACCCAAGACGAGAATAGCAAGGACATTAGAGATCAGTCCTGAGGTCGGTTGCCAGAGCTTATGTAGGGGGAATTTGTCCAAAGCTTGCTTTCATTCTCTCCAGTCCTTAACTCATGCTCCTCGTTGTTTCCTTTTTATAAAAATGAAAAATTATGAAATTTTCCACTGAAGTCTCAGAGGAAAATAGAAGAATAAAATAAGAATGCCAAGTGTTAGAAATGTCAGCAAGTAAAACAGCAAGGAGTACTGCCTCTTCTGCTCACCTTCACCATTGTAAATACTGGGCACACTTGGCGGGAAGAGCTTTTGCTGTCAATTACAATTTTGAAGGAAAAAGAGAGTAGGCACTCATCTAAAAATATATGCTTTTAAAAACTTTATTTCTTAGATAGTTTTTCAGATCATTTCCATTCATGCTCAAAATTTCTATGACATAATACCTTAGCGTTTTCAAAGAAATTAACCTCTATGGTTGAACTTTATCTGTTTTTCATTATGGCCTGGATAGCCTTCAAGTCCCCAAAAGAAGAACAGACCTGTGTTTTGGGGGGGGGGGGGTGCGGAGAAGGAGGAGGGAGTGAGAGAGGAAGGGAACGAGAGAGGAATTCCCTTGCATTTGGTACATTTCAGTCCTATGTTGAGAAACAAGCATGGTTAAACTATCCTATCTATGATTCATTCTTTTCTTCTCTGAGGAACTTGTAGTATTTATCTGTTTTAGGTAGATCTTAAATATACAAAAAAGTAAACCTAAAAAAATGAAAAAGGAGTTACAGGTTTTGCTCACCTGCCAAGCCTAGTGCTTGTCTGGCTGGTGAGCTTCTTCCACCTCGCACATCTAGTACTTACCTCATTCATTGGTTTTTCATAGATGTCCTCCTGCCAAGGTACTGATTTTGCTTGAAATGCATCTCGCTGGAGAGCTTCTAACACCTTTTTTGGAGTGACAAACCCATACTGAGCTTCCAACAAAGCCAAGTCCATTTTTTCAGCCTTTAAAATACCTATGACTTCATCTCGAGCCTGTAGGAACAAAAGGTATTTCAGAAAACCTGCTTTTTCTACCAGTGTGATTTCAGCTATCAGCAAGTGTTTTTTTTGCATTAACTGGCAGTGTTTCTTCTCTTTCAAATATAAATGAATCCTGTTTTGATATCGGACCTTTTGGAAAAGGTAACAAAACTTTGCCTTCACCTTTCTTCCAATCTCATTACACATTAATAATGTTTTTAAAAGTGATCATTATACATTGGAGGACTACATTTTAAAAAGTGTTTCACCAGCAGATAACGTGATATCCCATCAACGTACTGGCATTTTAGTTTTCATGAGTTAGGAAATAGGATTCTCCTATATTTGTAGCTGTTGTTCTTAGATTTTTATGTAGGTCAATAATGCCTTGGCAAGTCTAAGAGCCAGTTCACATAGGTTACTAAAGCATCTATTGTTATTTAAGGCAGTCCGGAAGTCATCCAGCATTATTGTTAGCCAAAGTGCCCATATACTGAAGCTGATGAGCAGTAGGGCAGAGGACATGACCTTCCACAACATGCATGCCAATTGTATGGCATAATGACAACCCTTTTAGATGTGATTAATTGCCCATTGAGTTGGCAGAAGACAATTCTGTGTATGTGTATTGGGGCCTTGATTTCAAGTACACACAAGTATGGAGCATAGGTATCTATTTCTGTGACAGCATGCACCTCAAATTGACAAGCAGTCTTCCCCTTTAAGTCTGACAGGGAAAAACCCCACCCAGCTGACCTGCAGTTCTCCTTCCAGAATGCTGAGGAGAAATAATAGGTCATCCCTTGAAAGGTCTTCTGCTTGGTGGCCATTACCACTGTGTGGCTTCTCTGACTGGGGCTGCGGAAGGAGGACATCCCATTCACTAGTGGAGTCTTTATCTTGCTGTCTGTGCTTCATATCCTCAGATCTTTGAAAACTGTGGTCTTTTCTGTGTCTTGGAAATTGCTTGCGGGCTGAGCCCTTGGTATCATTGCTTCTGGAACGCATTCTTTCAGGCCTACAGGAAAGGAAGGCAATTTGTAACTCTTAATGGAAGTGGAATTTTAATAAGAGCACCTATTACTGCTTTAACAAGTCTGCATTCTTGTTATATTTACCACAGGCCAAAACTCAATCTCTCTGATGTTGAGAGCAGAGAAGGGTATTAGTAGATTCATAAATCACAGCCTTATTTACACTTCTGCTTTTAAAGTCAACATTTTAAAAAATGTGTTCTGCTTTGATGAAGGCCACTTATATCCATGAGTAAACAGACTGTGTTTGAACTTCGTCCACTAAGCATTCCACTTCAAGGACCTAGGTCATACCTCCAACCATGGCTTAAGTGCTTGCTTAGATTAAGTCATACTTAACATAATTGTAAAATGATAAACTTGCTAATGGTTCTAACTTTCTTCAGATTCAAATTATATCATTCCCTCTGTAAGTCCTTTGCGGAGGGTGTGTTTTTGTTTTGTTAATTTTTTAGCCTCTGGTACATTATAAGAGAAATATCAGAATTACTGCTTCAAAATACTTTGGATTATTATGTTATGAAGGTAAAGTCTAATATTAAAGGAATGAAGGCTTGGTTTCTGGCTGTATTCCTGACATTCTACCAAAATTTTAGAATAGTACTTAGTTAAGTCACTTATATTTAAGCTCTTTAATTCCAAAGCAGAGATATTGCTGCCTATAGTAGTTGACTGTTAATATTTGAGAAACACAGTATCTTCATAAATGGTTATGTAATCACCCAGATTAATTAATAATAGCAAGAAAAATTATTCCATGTTTGAGGTTCAGAAGAGAAGATACCAGTTAAATTTATAGACAATTCTAATTATACACACGATTATTCATTTTACTCTTTGTCCTTAAAATCATGAAGCTTTCATCATCATTGATGCCTTTTGGTTTCTAATAATCTTTCCTTAAAAATCGGAAATGCTCAAGCAAACAAAAAAGTATATGAAATATAATGAACTGCTGCTACATTCTATCACACAAATTTGTAAAATTGTTAGCAATTTACTGTATATATTAAAAAAAAAATTAGGGGCCAGGTTGTGACACAGCAAATTAAGCCTCTGCCTGTGATGCCACCATCCTGTGTAGTCTCTGGTTTGAGTCCCAGCTGTTCCACTTTTGATCCAGCTACCTGCTAATGTGTCTGGGAAAGCAGCAGAAGATGGTCCAAGTACTTTAGGCCCCTGCACCCATGTAGGAGACCCGGATGAAGCTCCTGGTTTCTGACTTCAGCCCAGCCCAGGCCTGGTTGTTGCTGCCATTTGGGGAATGAACAAGTGGATGGATGATATCTCTCTTTCTCTCTCTCCCCCGCCCTGGTAACCTTGCCTTTCAAATGAATGAAAATAACTTGAAAAAATGGCCAAGAAAATAATTTTTAAAGCAATACATTGTAGGTAGAGTTGAAGCACCTGTTTGTTACTTCTGGAATCTGTTCTTTTCCCTTCCTACTCCAGAAGTAATGACCATCTTGAATTTGGTGTTTCTTATTGCCACACATGTTTTATACTTTAATATATATGTATATAGCTAAAAAAATATATATAGTATTGCTTTGCATGTTTTCAAACTTATGTAAATAGCAATTTGGCTGTATCTTTCTAAAACAATGTTTTCTCATCCTAGATCATATTTTTTATGTTCTTCCTTATTCCATTGTACTGTAATTTATATATTTTGGATTTGTTGTGTGATATTTCTTTATAAGAATGATTTACCATTTACTTAACCATTTCACTGTTGACAGATTTTTGAAGAGTTTATTCTTTTTTCAGTATTAAAAAAAATGCTGCTAAGGACATCCTTACACATTTTTTCTTCTTATGTACATGTATTTTTCCTGGGAACATTCTTTAAGGAAGAACATAGAGAGGATTTCTGGTCTGTAAATATGGGTGTTTTCAAAATTTTGTTTTCCTACATGGAATACCAGTTTATAGAAGAGTATGAGTGTTCTCATTGCTCCTGTATAACTTAATCAACAGTTGTTATTTTCATTTTATTTATTTTGTCTTTTATGGTATATTTAAAACTTATGAATGGTTTTTTTCTTTTTGCTTATGGCCTATTGTCTCAAATGTTCATTTCTTTTTTGTTTGTTTCATTTTTTTTGTTTGTTTTTTTTTGTTTTTTTTTTTTGTTTTTGACAGGCAGAGTGGACAGTGAGAGAGAGAGACAGAGAGAAAGGTCTTCCTTTGCCATTGGTTCACCCTCCAATGGCCGCCGCGGCCAGCACGCTGCGGCCGGCGCACCGCGCTGATGCGATGGCAGGAGCCAGGAGCCAGGTGCTTTTCCTGGTCTCCCATGGGGTGCAGGGCCCAAGCACCTGGGCCATCCTCCACTGCACTCCCTGGCCACAGCAGAGGGCTGGCCTGGAAGAGGGGCAACCGGGACAGAATCCGGTGCCCCGACCGGGACTAGAACCCGGTGTGCCCGCGCCGCTAGGCGGAGGATTAGCCTAGTGAGCCGCGGCGCCGGCCCATTTTGTTTTGTTTTTAAGATTTATGTTATTTATTTTAAAGGTAGAGTGACAGAGAGACAGAGAGGTCTTCCATCCACTGGTTCACTCCCTAAATGTCCGCAATGGCTAGGACTAGTCTGGACCAAAACCGGGAGCCAGGAGCTTCTTCTAAGTCTCCCACGTGGGTGCAGGGATCCAAGGACTTGAACCATTTTCCACTGCCTTCTCATGCATGTTAGCAGGGAGCTGGATCGGAAGTGGAGCAACCAGGACTCAAACCTGCACCCATATGGGATACTGGCATCACAGGTGGCAGCTTTGCCTACTACTCCACAACACCAGCCCTAGGTGTGCATTTCTGTTTAACAGACTATATCAAAACTTAATGGACACAGTGACTGAAAATTCAATAGCTCACTCCACAGCTTCAGTCATCTTGCAAGCTCTGCTGGACTGGATGGTTGAAGACAGGTTCTCTCACATGTTTACTAGTTGGGCTGGGGTTCAGAACCTCAGCTGTATCATCACTCTCTCTGTTCCACATAGATTGTCATCTTCCAGTAAGCCACACTGGACTTCTCCATATTATAGCCTCAGAACAACGTTCCAAGAATGTGAGAGTTGAAATTCCAAGGTCTTATTTTATTGGCGCCGTGGCTCAATAGGCTAATCCTCTGCTTGCGGTGCCAGCACACCGGGTTCTAGTCCTGATCGGGGCTCCGGATTCTGTCCCCCTCTTCCTGTCCAGCTCTCTGCAATGGCCCGGGAGTGCAGTGGAGGATGGGCCAAGTGCTTGGGCCCTGCACCCACAAGGAAGACCAGGAAAAACACCTGGCTCCTGGCTTCAGATCAGCGCAGTGCGCCGGCCGCAGTGGGCTGGCCGCAGCGCGCCGTCCACAGCAGCCATTGGGGGGTGAACCAACGGAAAAAGGAAGACCTTTCTCTCTGTCTCTCTCACTGTACACTCTGCCTGTCAAACATTTTTTTAATTAAATTAAAAAAGAAAGAATATCACAAGGCCAGCCCAGATTCAAAAGTGGGAAAATAAACTCTACTTCTAGATGAGCTGTAAAATCACATTACAAAGGAACAGGAATAGTTAACTCCAGCCTCCATTGACAATATCTACTACCCTTACAGACACAGATTTTTATGAAAATGTAATAAAAATCTAGTTTAAAAGAGATATGCAATACAATTGGCTCTTCTTTTAGTTTCCTGGCAACATTTGTGGGTTTTTTGTATTTATAATGATGTATTTCTTTCCTTTCCTTTTACCCACATATTCCCATGTAGAATGGCAGCCTACTGGTAAGAATGAACTTATATTCTGCTGCTGATAAATAAGGATTCGTCTTCTCCCATCAGTTTTGTCCATGGTATGCTTCTCCTTAGCAAGGTAGTCTGTTAAGCATTGCTCATAAGTACTTAGAGCCCTGTGAGCTTAAGGCAGCCCTAAACCACAGAAGACTGAAGGGAACTTGGTGCATATCCTAGTTTCTGTCACCTCACTCTTAAAGTGGGATAGGTGAAATCCGTCAGGAGATCCTACATCTTTTCTCAGAAATGATATTCATAAATGGTAAGAGAAATAAAGAGACCTGAGACGTTTTTATACTGTTCTTTTTAAAGTGATCTAGAGGTTTTCTGAGACAGCCAGTTTTCTCTAGAGGTCGGGAGGTGGAAGCCACAGTCTTGCTGGTTAATAAAGTGGTAATTCACACTGGATTTGTGAATAGACCCATCATGTGCCGACTTCTGGTCTGCTGAGTGTGTGTCTCCACATGTTTACAGTGGTGGAGTTTCCTTACCCCTCTGCCAACAACCACAAAATGATCAGTAATGAGAAGTAATTAAGTATCGAGAGGAAGAAAACAAAGACATGAATTTCATGATACTGTCATGCTTTGTACTATCAGTGACTTCATTGTTTCTCTTGGCAAATTTGTAATGCATCTGTGCTTGGGCCAGGAGTACTTACTGACGTAAAGAAAAATTTTCTAATAGCAACAGTGGTTTGGGTTTTTCAGGTTACTAAATAAAAGAGAAAGGAATAGAGAGTTGCTTTTGTTTATACCACATAATGATGCCTTGCTGTTTTCATAAAGTGCAGATAGTGTCATGATATCTGATAAGTCTGCAAGGAGAAAACTTGCTTAGTTGTTAATTTAACAGAACTGAAAGTGTTATCTGCGACTATCTTAGCCATAGAGTGGTGACTTTAAAAAGTGTAGAATGAGAATCAGGAAACCTGGCTTCTGAATCCAGATCTGCCTTAATTAATTATCAAGGCTCTGGATTGTCACTTATAAAATGAGAATGTGGGGGTATGTTGGCCCTACCAGGTCATTAATGATGGAACAAGCACCAGGAGTTCTTTCCCTTGATATCTGCTCTGTTCCTCACTCACTGATGGATCACCTGACAGCCGAACTGTGGCCTGAAACTAGATGATCTCTGAGATCCTGGTACTTCCCACTTCAGAATTTTGTGCTTCTGTGTTGTGTTATATCTGTGGATACAAATAC